GCGGTTTCTTGTCGAGTTTTGCCGCTCGTTCGCGAATCGAAGCGACGCGGAAGGGTGCAGAGACGAGAGGGTGGTTGGACGTCGTTTGGCGAAGAAGGGACGAGGCAAAAAAGGGGCAGCGAAAGAATGGTACTGCAAGGAAGGGTAAGGGGTGGACACACGAGGTTCCGCCTTTATTACGTGCACGGTTACTTATTTCCAGCGGCCCGATATCGCGTTCTATTTCCATTCAACGGGTTTCTTGTAGGTCTTGCACACCCTGTCAGGATAACCGGTGGTACTGATAGTTTGCTGGAACTATGCGAGGTGAGGGTGGTTCTTCCTGGGTCGGGTGTTGAATTAATACTTGGTCTATGCAGTGGTGATACAGTGGAGTCACTTAGGGGTTTGATATGTGCCTTCTGGTAGCTATGGATGAGCGTAGGGTAGGGATTTTTTGGGGGGTATGAAGTTTTATATATGAAGTTTTATTCGTATACTATGTTTTCGTTTAACAGTTCTTTTAACCACTTGCGCAGACAAGAAATTCACAGACGTGTGTGCCAGAACAGTCCAATGTATCTGTGACAATTGCCTGATGACGTGTATACCACGTCGTTGGCCATTCTGCGACAAAATCATTACGACGTGCGTGACACGTCTTTCCAGCGCAAGTGGTTAAATATGTTCCTTGTTTTTGTTTAGGAAATATTTAGAAATGGCGAATATCCGTGTTTTGGCATTCGATAAGACGAAAATGTGACAATAGGAACAGAGGGTATTAGATTCTCTACAAGCTCCCTTCGCAATGAATGCCAATCGGTCTGCTCTGATGTAATAAGATTCCACGAAGAATAGTCATCTAGGGTCCTGCTAGCTATTACTCCATAAGATCTAATACGTGTTTCAAAGATATATTATACTAGTATATTGTTACGAATTAAATCGTGTTCAATATGTTTCACCGACTTCATAATCAATTATACTTTTATCGAAACATTTTGGATGTCCAGTATAAGGACTGGATAATCATTATATGTACAATATTCAAAGGCTACAGTAATGAACGAGTTCCGCGGAAAATTTCCTATATAGAGAATTAATATCGAATTACAGCGAAATAACGATTGGGATGACCACAAAGGGAATCTATCTTAATAAAACATATAAATGAAATGTTCCCCTTCCTCGCGTATCCTCTGCCACATTTAGATGAAATTAAAATTGCACGCGATTCGATTGTAATTTCGAAAGAAACAGGCAAGTAAAAATTACAAAATCTTGTGAAAAAAGAGGACAAGAATCTTGAAATTTTAAGGAAATGAAAGTAACAAGGTTGTGCAATATTCTATCATGGAAAGTGTAGGAAATGCACACTGTCTATAGGCGACTATAGATTAAAAATTTACAAGATCGACTGCTTACAATTCGTGTCACTGACAGTTTACTTTGTTATCTCAAGATTATCAACTATCAAAAAATGCTTCTTTCGTTACATCGTCTGAGCAGCTACCCTACTGTGAAGGACTCTTGTATTACACATCGAGCAATAAAACTACGACGTTACCTAAAAAACGAGATAAATGAATCCGATCCACAGAGTAGTGATCAAATATTGTATAAAACTCCTGAATTTGTACTTGAGATGGAGACAAAGGGGTAGTCTGTTCGCTGTACCTGGCTCCACCTTTGATGCTCTTGAAATCTATACTTTTGACATAGTAGTAGGGTAAATTCTATTAACAGTCTTTTTGTGAACACTGACCATGTGTCTACGACACTGCATTAACACTCATCTCGTTAAATCTCGAGATTTCCTGTTCACTCTTTTTGATTGACACAATTTTATTTGTACATGTGACACTTTCAGACTACAATTAAAATTCGTACGAATTACTTTTAAAACAAGTTACTATACTCGTAATATCCACGTCTCTTTTGCTAGCCATCGTCTCATGCTGGCTCAGAATTTTTGATTCTCGACTACGTACCCTGACATGGTATACTAAAAAGTTAACACTGACGCCATATCTACATTAGCTCTCTATCACTCTACCCCCCTCGATCTCAATCTATCGGGTAGACCATGTTTCCTTCATCACGCGAAGCAATATAATCCTATTTGTACACACGACACCTTCGACCGACAACGAAAACTAGCGCGACCTATCTTTACGGTCCTGACACGGAAACTAGACCCATTACAGCGATCCGTGACCAATCAAACTCACATTCGCTCTATGTCCTAACTCCTAAGCTCCACGCAGTACATATCCACGATCCGACTAACAATTACATTCAACCCAAACACCTAACGTCCGATATTATCGTCAACGACGAGCTGCGAAGGATTTTTCACAAGACACTGAAACGGTATAAAGTTCCTGATCAACGCTTTGACTGCCACGACGAAATCACATGTTTTCCTCAGGACGCCAGGGAGTGCACCGCTAGACGCGAGATTTATTTTAATATCTTTTTGATGTTCTAATAAAAATTTTTAATTGTTCAATAGGGCACTTTTTAATTCAAAGTATCTTCTAATTAGCAGTTATATTCAAAATGTACTAACTGTCAATTTTTATTCAATGTTGTTCAATGCAGTTCAAGTAGTTCAAGCGCTCCGGTCATCAATGACCACAATGGCGTCACAGGAAAATCCGTAGCCGGTTATGTATGACCAACGTGGCAGTCAAAGTGTTAACCAGTTAGCTGTGGCTCCCCCTTTTGAGAGCGCGCACCTATACGTGTCGCGAAAATCGAGCGATGACGAGTATACTCGTCAATCACAGAGTAAATGTCACTGTTAAGATATTGGATCAAAGAGATGAGTTTATTTTATAAAATTGACAATTTTATTACTGATATTTACTTATTTGGTTAACATCTATTCTCTTATTGGTTAGTTTTTATGGATATCTATGAATTTTAGTGACCGTCAAAAAATAGCTAGGTAACTTCGGGCCAGCAGCCATCAATGGGCTCAGCGCCTGGTCAGCGTCACGCATTTGTCCCGCGGCGGATCATCCCTGAAGGCCCCCTGTCATAAATCAGCTTTCCGACTTTTGCTTTTGCCCTTTTACGCTGACATCTAAAAACGTTATCATCGCGCATAAATAAATTCGTTATGCGAACTGATAAGCTGTTTCAGCCTGTACATACGGGGACGCACGAGTTCATCTCAAATTATTCATATTTTTTATTTGTTTGTTTTATTCCGGACTGGCCTCAAAATATTCTAAACATCTTGAAATTTGAGAATATGTTTTATTTTTCACAAAAATTACAATTTAAATAGCCAACGGTCGTTACTTTTTACGCATGATGAGTATACTCGTCGTGACAGAAAATCCTGCCACTGTTCCATGACGAGTATACTCGTCAATCACAGCTAACTGGTTGAATAGAAAAATATAACAAGGGTTCAGATAAACAGCAAGTTTCCGTCTTATGGACGCAGCAACTGGGAACAGTTTTAGTCCAACGTCCTCGTAAAAACGTGCAACGAACGCCACCCGAAGGATATCGCGATGGACCAGCGACCAAGCGTCTAGGGATTTCGTCAATTTCACCGAACTGCGGGGAATTCACGTGACGCCGGGAAACCAGGTCCTCCTGCGTTGTGCGTGAGCCCTTAGCACGCTGCGACGCGAGACGAATGAAGGGAAACAGTAATTTTCTGGACGTCTTACGGGAACGACAGAAATTAATGGCGCCTGGCTGTACCTCGTTTATCCCGTTCGCGATGCTTAGTATTCCCGTTTGAGTAGAAATCGTTCTCGCCCGTGGCAGACGAGGGTTTTGGGCTAGTTTATATCGAATGCGCACGCGTTTACGACCAGGGGTGGTTCAATGGGGATGTAAATTCTGTTACCGTGCGGTTAACGGAACGGGTTAAAATGATAATTGAAAGGTTTTATGGTGTAAAGGATGAACACCTCGAGCAGGATATTCTCTAAATGGCACGACGAACGATTTTGCTACCGATGTAGGTATGGTTCAATTGAAACACGGCGATTTCTATGTTCATCGAAAGTTTTGTAATAGGAGAAATAGTGATACTGAATTAAGTAGTATGTGAAGATTATTTATGGTAGTTGTTGTACCATTAACACGATAAGAAAAATTTTAGAAAATTTGTAAAATTTTAATTAATATCTGATAATTTTGTAATAGGAGAAATAGTGATACTAAATGAAATAATATATGAAAATTGTTTATGGTTGTCACTGTATCATTGACAGGATCAGAAATATTTTAGAAAATTTGTAAAATTTTATTTGATATCTGTAATTAATATCTAATAATTTTGTAATAGGAGAAATGGTGATACTAAATCAAATAATATATGAAAATTATTTATGGTTGTCACTGTATCATTGATAGGATCAGAAAAATTTTTAAAAATTTGTAAAATTCTATTTAACATCTGTAATTAAAATCTAATAATTTTGTAACAGGAGAAATGGTGATACTAAATCAAATAATATATGAAAATTGTTTATGGTTGTCACTGTATCATTGATAGGATCAGAACAATTTTTAAAAATTTGTAAAATTCTATTTAACATCTGTAATTAAAATCTAATAATTTTGTAATAGGAGAAATAGTGATACTAAATCAAATAATATATGAAAATTATTTATGGTTGTCACTGTATCATTGACAGGATGAGAAATATTTTAGAAAATTTGTAAAATTCTAGTTAAAATCGCAATTCTATAAAAACTTGATTCACATGATGGTTGCATTTATTTATATTTGATTAATAAGCTTATCATCATGGAGTAAAAATAATTACAATTCTATTCTTTCTTCTTTAATTTAAATTTGTATTTTATTTATAAATAAATAAATAAAATATATGTAAATAATTTGAATTTTTTTTAAATTTAATAAAATATCGATATTTGCACAAAGGTCTTGCCAATTAGTAAATCAAGTTTTATTTTTCCTTTGTGAGAAAAGAAAATTTTTATTATATTTACGATTGTAATTTAAAAGGAATATCGTGACTCACGTCATATCTGGAGAAGTCGCCCTTTCCGGGTGGTCCAGGGGGTCCTTGAGCGCCCTTTTCGCCCGGTATTCCATCGCGACCAGGGTCTCCCTTTTGTCCTTGAGGCCCTTCCGGTCCCGCTATTCCCGCATCTCCTTTGTCACCCTTAATACCTTGCGGACCTTCCAACCCTCTCTCACCAGGTGGCCCAGCTACACCCTGCACAATCCACCGGAATCATTCATTTTCAAGAATTTCGACTACCAAAAATAAAATTATTTATGATAACAAAAAATAGTATATTTAAAAAAAAGAAAAAAAATTCACGTATCACGTGTCTTCGTTTAAGGATTATAAAATGAAGATACACATGTATATAAATTGACAGGTTTTGGAAAACGTAGGTTTTGATGGGATTATTTGGTTAGTCCATGGGAAATATTCTTTATTTATCATAACGTTATATTAGTCGTTGTGACATAATTGAATTTTCTTGATTTTTTCCTGTTTCCCTTTTCATTTTCCTCGCTACTTTTTTCTTTTTTATCGAGAAGCATTCGGTTTTTACAAAGCGTCAATACCGTCAGCCCCATCTGGCCTTGTTTCCCTTCTTGGCCCGGCACTCCTTGCTCCCCTTTCGGTCCTTGGATCATCTTTGGCATCGTAAATGATGCCATCAGGGCTGTTGCATTGCAGGTGCACGTGCCGGGTTCTCCTTTCTTCCCTTGCGGACCCTGCAGCATTTTGATCAGTCTGTCATTGCAAATACACTCGGCGGGTTTACGGTAGGGTAAACTTGGTTACGTGCGTCGGTGGTTTACTAACGGATAATCGAATTGCAGGATAACAAAACTTCTATCCAGCGACTTCATAATTGTTCATTTACTCCCTGTATACTGTGTGCACGGTTTCGAGGGCTTGTGGTTCTGTGATAGGCGATTCAAGACACGGGAATTGCTTCGTTCGAATGCAATTAGCATTCGTAGCCTTAAGCGTCGAGTAGTACTACTAGCAAATGAATGTGTCGTAAAATATATTTGAAATATATTTAAAATACATTTCTATAATCGAAATTTTGTTTAAGTACAATCATACGTAAATACTATAATTGACTACAATAATTCTATCTCGTTTTGAATTCCAAAAATTGGAAAATTGTTATAAACTGATCAGTGTCGATATCATGGACTATTAACAACGAGAAGATGCAGTGATTAAATAATAAACAAGCGAAATAGACACTAACTTCCCAGTCACACGTTGTCATAGTAAAATAAAAAATTATTCCAATATAAGTATAAATCGTTCGATTACAGTATAATATATTCAACGCCTGTAGCTTCAATCATAGAGTCAAACCACTAGCTTTCAATTTCAACGCGATTAATTTAAATATTTAAAAAATTCCGCATGAATTTCTGGCTCTCTTTAATTTCAAATAAATTTTTCATTCCAATTTCCTTTAACCTTTCGAATGTACCTAAATTCCACTTCAACCCATTTTAACCTCGCTAAAGTTTAAAGAAAATCGGTCGACTTTTGTGCTATAACGTACATAGGTTCCTCCAATCATAGAGTCAAACTACTAGCTTTCAATTTCAACGCGATGAATTTAAATATTTAGAAAATTCCGCATAAATTTCTGGCTCTCTTTAATTTCAAATAAATTTTTCATTCTAATTTCCTTTAACTTTTCGAATGTACCTAAATTCCACTTCAACCCCATCTATTTTAACCTCGCTGGAGTATAAAGAAAATCGGCCAACTTTTGTCAAACCAATAGCTTTCAATTACAACGCGATGAATTTAAATATTTAGAAAATTCCGTATAAATTTTCGGCTCTTTAATTTCAAATAAATTTTTCATTCTAATTTCCTTTAACTTTTCGAATGTATCTAAATTCCATTTGAACCCCATCTGTTTTAACCTCGCTAGAGTTTAAAGAAAATCGGTCAACTTTTGTCCTATAACGTGCATCGTTCCCTCGAATTCATGAAATTTCCACGTAATGCCAGCACGCGATGTTATTCCGATTTTTCCATTCTTTTTTCCCTCCTCTATTTCTTTTTTTTTTTCCTCGGATTCAACGGTGAGCATCAGCTTCCGAGAATTAGAGCGGTTTCGAGCCGGGGATTGAATGCATCAGGCGTTAAACAAATACAGTCGCGTACATACCCGTATGCTGATAATTTCGGAAGATAGTGAATATCGTGAAAGCGGTTCCTCTGTAATCAATGTTACATGCAGTGGTTACCAGTACTTCAGCATGCTGGGTAAATTGGCTTGCTCGAGTAGCAAGATAAATGAGTGATCCCGGATTGGAATGCATTCAAGCCCGCTTCATATGCACAAGCGCTACTGAATTATTATTGCTGAAATACGTATGTGTACCGGTATATATCCGGAATAATGAGAGATCTCTAGTGCTGGATCTTCGTTGCTGTTAAGTACAGATTCTCGTAGCTACTTAAGCGCCTCGCAAATTGGATACACTCGTAAAGCGGATGGTTTTAAAGCTTTATTTCCATTCGAATTGTATTATTATTTAAACAATAGGCGACCATTTCAGTTTCCCGATAATCAAACAATTTCAAGTACGCGAAAGGGAACTTTTTGAATTGCTCATTTCACTCCGTTCTACGCCCATTATGGCATTATAAAAGATAAATAAGACAATGAAAACGAGGAGGGGCTTTTATCCTGATAAAGGTTATCGATTCCATGCAGTTCCAAGTGATATTTATTATTATTATTAGTTTTTATTCGTCCGATGAAACGTGCGCGATTCGAAAGTGAATTTTCTGGAGTTATAACGCGTCAGTGATATAACAGCGAATTAACGATACGAATGAGAGAATAATTTTAAACGTTTAAAAACATCTGAAGGATTTCAAAGGAGTTCGTAGAAATATTTATTTTTATTATCCAGTAAAAAGAGAATAATTTCAACGCGAATTTACAGAATTATAACAAATCTTTGATATAATACAACGAAACAATTATTTAATTGGGAGAAAAATTATAAATGTATAAAGAAAATGGAAAAAAAGCTTCGAGAAAGAGAATATTTTGAACCGACTATTCCGCTTTTATTTTATTTTATGTTTTTTGTAGGATTACGAGAAGACAGATAGAACAATGAAATCGCGAAATTTGATCATCGGAATGAGAATTACCGATGAAAAATGCTCGATGTGACTTTTTTCTCGACTTAATCAAGTAGAACGAAGACAGTTCGAATTTACAGAAATATACGAGACTCGTAACACCGTGGAAAAATTACCAAGCGTCGCGAATTTCCAATGAAAAAGTGTCATAAACTATGAAAATATATTCTCCCGCTAGAAACGTCCAACGAATAGTGGCACTCATAATCTGCGATAAACTGCCGTCGTTACTCCATTATAAAAGATGAATGCCGTTTCAACGAGCCCATGGAATAACGCTAAATCGATACACACGCCGTATCCCTTATTACGCGTCCTTACTACTGAATTATTATTCATTTGCTGTAATAGAACTCCACGAGCACCAATATCGATACCAAAGAATATTTCACGTAACCCAAATTGCATACGTAATCACCTAAATTCCGCAATAAACAATTACAAACAATTCTTTATCTCTTTAAAAAAAAAAATAATAATAATAAAAAGAAAGAGAAATTGCTTTAACGATCACTGAGAAGCTCTTCGAAAGCAGGGCTTATTTCCAAAATCGAGAAAAATCTTCCTTTAATGAATTTCAAATAATATGATAATATATAACTTCTTTTGTCAATCCATATAAATATTTTTAACCTTTTTATTGCAAATTCGAATATATTTGTTACAATAATTTAAAAAGAAATTTTGTACAAACTACGTAATATTGTCACTAAATATTTCAGTAACATACTATTATATTATTATAAATTGAATATTAGACACGAATCTATGCAATATTGCAAAATGGCAATTGAAAATCGCCTGTCGACTGCAGAGTTAATATTCTATAGTATTGTTGTATATAACGATTTGCGATATTAACCCTTTGCACTTGAGAAGCGCTCTTTAGTCGTCATTGGATAAAATTTCGAAGCTCGATATTAATTAATATATCAAATTTAAAATATTGTAACAGTGCGCGAGGTATCGAAATTAAATAATTCTGCGCATCGATTATTATACGATTTCTTATTTACTGCTCGAAAAATATCCTCAGCTTTATAGCAGAAAATTTGTCAACTCGTACCCTTCTTTACCAAAAATTCGTCCAACGCGAAGGGTTGAAATACCAATATTATAGACTCCATGATACCAAAATATTAAATATTCCATAACATAATACAGAATATAATAATCAAAAAAGGGACCACCGTCGAGAATTGCCGGTTTTCCAAGAAAAGCTGCTGGATTTTACTCAACTTTTTTCCACGGCATTCGTCGATGAACGACATTAAACTAGCTGTATTCAGGTCATTCGATATTCTTTCGTACCAAACAACGCGGTAACGCGTGGTCGTAAGCGAAACCTGATGCAAACACGGGGCCCCGTAATATGCGCAACGCATTCGGTCTGCCTTTATACGTGTATAGACTACTGAACTATTACAGCAGGAAGTCCAGCGGTTTGCGTAAGGATTGCTAATGGAACATCTTCGGTGCGGCACGATGCATACACCCGATATAACGCATGCGATACGCTAAGGTATATAATATAGTTCGGTGTGTACAATTTGCATAAATTATGCGGACATTTATGCATTCTACGTGCCGCTGAGCAGTCGTACGTACGGCAGCGCCGGATGCGAGTCAACTTTAAGTCCTACCTTAAATTTAATTCCGTGTTTCGAAATGGACGAGAGTTAGTGGCTGTCGTGTGTTAGAATTGGCGCGAGTTTTCACCACGTTTTCGATTCTACTTGTTCGATTCTTTTATTTTAATTTTGTAGAAAGTGAGCGATAGAAATGATTGATAATTCGTCTGTGATTTTGAAAGTCGTATAGGTTTAAGTCGTACCTGTTTCGTTTCGAAATATTGGAAGATTCGTGATTGAAACGTGTTATAAATTAAAAAATTAATTTTAGAAATTTAAAAAATTAAAAATTAATTGATTACCACAAAGCTATACAGCTATTACACCGATTTATCCGTTCAATATTATATTATTCTAGTGTAAACGTGTGCAATACAAAGTAACGATGAAATAATTTTTTTGATATATTATATTTGGACAATTTTTATAGTCGCTGAATATTTTTGTAATCACTTGGAGAAAGGATAAGACAATTTTCTATTTCTGATCATTTTTAAGAAACGATGTGAATATTTTCTTACTCATACCTGTTTTGGTTTCTCAAGTTTGATTATGAAGATATCATTGGATAAAATGAATGGCTCATTGATAATTGGTGAGAAGTCACAGATAATTTTCCAAAATGTAATTTTTAAGTTGTAACTTTTTCATTTTATTTTCTAGAATGTAATTATGGAAATATCGAATGAATTAGGTGTGGAAAAGAGTGTAGTTTTGTATTTATTACAAGATCGATATTGGTGAAATTATTTACCTCCTCTTGACCAGGTGGACCAGGGGGGCCAGGTGCTCCCCTGACACTCTCGCCCTTCTCTCCTTTGTCGCCCTTGTCGCCTTTCGGCCCTTTGTCTGAGAAATTTAAAAAAGCACATTACAAACAATCTCCCACATATTTCCTACCTCGAAACCTAACCAAGCATCCTTTGACGACCAGCAACTTTAGAAAAACATTTTCCAAAATATTCAAAACAACGAAGAAAATTAAAATTATAAGAGAATAAAATGAAAATGAAAATAAAAAGAAATTATAAATACCCGTTGCTCAGTTTCGAATTGGAACCGCTTTTAATAAATTTCACGAAGGAATTGAAACGTTTGGAAAATTTAAAACAGCGAATTTTCTTGCAGAATTTCTTCGTTCCGGAATATCCGAGTCAAAGGATGCTAGTAACGAGGCTTCGGTGATTAAAGAAACGGCTTTTAATGGAATTTCGACGTCGCTGCCAGCAGTCAGGATATTTCTTATCTGCGATCTTATGATTAAATAAACTCTCAAATTCCTCGCGATTACTCACAGTCCGGATTGGGAGGAGGGGGTGTGATGAATGGCGGTGGATTGCTTTCCTCGCTTCTGTCTTCGTCATCGTCTCGTCCGATCTGAAAACGGATGGTAAGAAGAAACGGTGAATAAGAACACTAACCGTGATTTATATGTCGTTATATGGTAAAAGAAAGAAAAAAAGGAAGGGAGAAAAAAGGGAGCGTGGGAGAAGGCTGGAAGAAAAACGAACAGCGCGAAAGTTTCATCGCTTATGCGGGTGTGATTGATTGCACGTTGCGTTGGCTCGATTTATTTGCGATGGGAAAGCAGAGGAATCACTACATCCACACCGATTTGCTATCGAGTTCGCGTCGTTAGGAAATACATAAAAGCTCGTGTTAGCGGAATAAAGAAATATTTCGGCAGCTGTTGAATATCAGCGAAGCAGAAACTGGTTCAACGAGATATTTCATTAACTGCACTTCATGCTGTTTGGAATAATTCAATTTTCATAAGCACTCCATATTGTGCTAGATTTTTCCTTTTAAATATATTCAGTTCTAGATAATAATTATAATTTCCACTTAAAATAATTTCTACAATAATTTATGGCAGAATGGTAATAGTATTATGCGATCTTCCTTGCTGAGATAGCGAACGTGTCCGACTATGACTGATTCGTTTCACTTGAATTTTTATTGTCAGCTTAATCAACGAAGCTTCACGGTATTTCAATGAGTATTTTATTTAAATTTAAATCGAATACTTCTTTCCTGTTTTTCTATAACATTTTATTTAAGATATTCAATTCGTCGTATTTTGTGACTTTTTTTAGAGTAAAATTGGTACTATTTTTATCGTTTTCTTTTCTCTATTTTGAATTTAAGCACTCTTATTAATAGAGAGAGTAAAATCTTATTAATAGTATACCTTCCTTGATGACAGCGAGAGTGCCTGACTATGTCTGATTCGTTTCACTTGAATTTTTATTGACAGCTTAATCAACGAAGCTTCACGGTATTTCAATAAGTATTTTATTTAAATTTAAATGAAATACTTCTTTCCTGTTGATCTTTGGCATTTTGTTAAAAATATTTAATTTATCGTATTTTGTGATTTTTTAAAAATAAAATTGGTACTATTTTTATCGTTTTCTTTTCTCCATTTTGGATTTAAGCACTCTTATTAATAGAGAGAGTAAAATCTTATTAATAGTATACCTTCCTTGATGAGATAGCGAGAGTGTCCGACTATATCTGATTCGTTTCACTTGAATTTTTATTGACAGCTTAATCAACGAAGCTTCACGGTATTTCAATAAGTATTTTGTTTAAATTTAAATCGAATACTTCTTTCCTGTTTTTCTTTGACGTTTTATTTAAGATAATTAATTCGTCATATTTTGTTATCTTTTTTTAATAAAATTGGCTCTTATTGGATTTATTGTTCTCTTTTCTCTATTTTGAATTTAGACACTCTTATTAATAGCGGGAGTAAAATCTAATTAATAGCACGTCGATTAAAATCTACGATTTCGTTTCTTTTATTTAACGAAAGCTTTCTCGTGTAACGAAGTTTCGGAACAAAATTTGTAATTATGTATTGCAAGGAGCGAAGAATTTGAAAAGAAGGAAGGATGTAAAAGAGCTTCGAATAATTTTTCCCTCGCCATTTTTACGAATCATTTTTCATGGAACAAAGAGCAGGCTATTTTTCATTCAGCCTGATTGACTATTGGCATCGCGCAGTTGTAGTTTCTATCAAGTATCTCCTCTGGAGATTAATTAGGGCGTTTAAAATTGGAGGATCAATTTTTCGAGTCGGACTTTTTATCCTATCGAAAAATGAATGATATCGCACTGGTAGACGGTGATTAATGAACTTTCGGTTAAATCAAGCGGAACGGTTAGCACATATTTGCCCTAAGTACTTTCCAATAATTATTAGCAACGATGCAGATTTATCGGGCCAAACCGCGTTTTGACAGTTATTTATCGCTGATTTTCCGGCTGACATATCTGAAAGTTCTTTTTACCGCAATATTGATTCGTTTATATTCACAGTGATTCCCATTTGAATATTTCACCCAGCATATTTCAAATCATTTCGACTCGATCTCTCACACGATCTAATAAAACGCAGAGTTAGAGGGAAACTTTTGCGAAACACGATTTAGATACGATCTTCCACGCTATATCAACGTAATCTAATTTGCAAAATTCGTTTTATTAAACTTAGTCCACAGATTCTTATCTCTCCTTCACATTGTCCAAAATGACACTCATATGATAGCACTGTGAATTATGAGGTCCAAAAAATTAAATTTAGTATCTAGATATTGTTATACGATTAAAAATAATCGACTCACAAAGTGTGTTAAGTACGTTATCCATTTCTATTTTTCTCTCTCAATTTTCCAAATGACATTAACACTGTGATTTGTGAAATTAGAAAAACCGAGGAAGATCTAATTTTTATTTTAAAAATTTACTCCAGGCATCGTTAGAGTACTGAGAACAATCCAATTCGTAAAATTCACATTACATATTTTCAAATTATTTGGAAATTTCCAATCTTCCAAATACCATAGACATATTATAAATTATAAACAGTGAAGAACTAGGAAAAAATTCAATCTTCTCAAAAGAAAAAATTAAGAAAACACTTATATATATATAGTTCCAAAATTATTATTACAGATCTAAGGAAATTAATTGACTTTAATTATCAATTTATTATCTCATAACTCCCAAATAAAAATATCGAAGAAATAGTAACCCCTATATCACAAATCTACACCACGAATATTATCATGAATAACATTACCCGGTAAATATTTAAAAGACAAACATAAAACACGTGGACCCTCTGCTCCTTTAAATCCACAACCAGGTTTAAATTCAATTTCCTTCTTCCCCGCATCATTTCAACTGCTTCGTCCCTCGCCGCGCTTTATAATGCACGAACAGTGGCCTGTCAGAATAATTTTTCCCCGTTCGTTACTCGAGGAATTGCTCGCTAAGGACACGGGGTCGTAGAAACTCGAGAACATGGCGCAACTGGGTCAGTATGGGACCCGCGGATTTTGAATTCCCGCGGGAAATATAATGCAACGACAGCCCGACGTTTACGATCCTCCGGATCTTTTAAGCGACGCTTTAGGGTGATATTAAACTGGCTCCACGATTTTCTATCGAATCGTTTTTCCACAAAAAAGCTCCTTTCCCCAAGAATAAACGACGAAACATTTCAGACCGGATATCGCGCTTTGATGAGTACCAGATTTCGGTTATTTCGTTGTAACAGGGGAGTTCTAGATCTCGTAGTTCCCTTTAATAAGGGCAATTCTTTAGTAAGGAAGAGAAATGCGTCTAGTGATACAGAAATTAGAAAAATGACCACAATTTTAACACTCTGTAGGTAACAGGAGTACCACAGAATGATCATAAATTGTGATTATACTGAAGCTGAGAAAATATTTTTCGTTTCCCTCTTTAAATATTAGAAAAATATTATATAGAATGCTATTTTAGAAAGAGAAATTATGAATCGATTAATATTTAAGATTTGGGATCTTATTTTAGAAAAACAAACTACTACTAATAAACTGAGGCTGAGAAAATATTTTTCATTCTCCTTTTTAAATATTAAAATAATATTATATAGAATGATATTTTAGGAAGAGAAATCGTGGATCAATTTTAACATCCAGTCGGTAACAAGAGTAAATCAGAATGATCATAAATTATCATTATACTTAGGCTGAGAAAATATTTGTCATTTTCCTTTTTAAATATTGGAATAATATTATATAGGGTGCTATTTTAGAAAGAGAAATCATGAATTGGTTAATATTTAACGATTTGGGATCTTATTTTAGAAAAACAAATTACTACTAACATACTGAGGCTGAGAAAATATTTATCATTCTCCTTTCTAAATATTAAAATAATATTATATAGAATGATATTTTAGGAAGAGAAATCTTGAATCAATTTTAACATCCAGTCGGTAACAAGAGTAAATCGGAATGATTATAAATTGTAATTACAGTGAGGCATAGAAAATATTTTTTATTCTCCTCTTTAAATAATAGAATAATATTATATAGAATGCTATTTTAGAAAGAGAAATTATGAATCGATTAATATTTAACAATTTGGGATCTTATTTTAGAAAAACAAATTACTACTAATATACTGAGGCTGAGAAAATGTTTTTCATTCTCCTTTTTAAATATTAAAATAATATTATATAGAATGATATTTTAGGAAGAGAAATCGTGGATCAATTTTAACATCCAGTCGGTAACAAGAGTAAATCAGAATGATCATAAATTATCATTATACTTAGGCTGAGAAAATATTTGTCATTTTCCTTTTTAAATATTGGAATAATATTATATAGGGTGCTATTTTAGAAAGAGAAATCATGAATTGGTTAATATTTAACGATTTGGGATCTTATTTTAGAAAAACAAATTACTACTAACATACTGAGGCTGAGAAAATATTTATCATTCTCCTTTCTAAATATTAAAATAATATTATATAGAATGATATTTTAGGAAGAGAAATCTTGAATCAATTTTAACATTCAGTCGGTAACAAGAGTAAATCAGAATGATCATAAATTGTAATTATACTGAGGCATAGAAAATACTTTTCGTTTCCCTCTTTAAATATTAGAAAAATATTATATAGAATGCTATTTTAGAAAGAGAAATCATGAATCGGTTAATATTTAACGATTTGGGATTTTATTTTAGAAAAATAAATTACAAATTACAATCAATGCCCTATGTTAAATTATACTATGTTAAATTATTTTAGAAAACAAATCGAAAATCAATCGACACCATTATGAAAGGCTATTCCTAGAAGCAAAACTAAATTCCGTGGTCCTTAAAGGGAGGTCAAACGCATGCGATCGGAATCGTGATCGTCACAGGGTGCGAATCACGAATCGACAAAGTGGCACGATTTTCACGAGAGCAAATTGCGAATCGGCAAAGTGACGTAATTTTTACGAGAGCAAATCGCTAATCGTCCGAATCGTATCAGCCAACTAGTGATTGGAAAAAGCATGACATCGAGCTTTGCGAAAAGCATGAAAA